ATAGTGCGCCATGATAACAAAATCGTGCTTGGCGACTTCAATGCCAGGGTGGGCAAGGAAGGGATCTTTGGGACCACCGTCGGAAAATTTTGCCTCCACGACGAAGCGTCCGACAACGGATTGAGGCTGACCGACTTCGCCGGGCTAGGTTCAAGAATCAAAAAAAAAATTCAAGCTGCGTGGCTGGCTCCGGATCGAAAAACGAGAAACCAAATCGATCATGTTGTGATAGACGCACCAAAAACTTGGAAAAAAAGCGTTTTACCACACTAAAAGCGCCAAATGGATTGAATTGATGCTTTTCTTATAACAGTTTTTATGTGTTTAACAAAAACAAAAAATTAACAATATAATAAAAATAATAATCCCAACGGGGTTAACCCTCCATTCCCGCCCATCCGCACGAGAGCGCAGTCCGCATGACGTACGGAACCAGTATTTATTTTCAATTTTTGCGCCGAGTCACGATAGGCAGGAGTTTGTTAAGTGTCGAGATCTAAAACTGTTCAGCTACAGAACTAAATTCATCAGGCGATTTTATGTCTTTATTTTAATGATTCATTTATTGAGAGAGGACAGTATCGATTTCTTAATGCTGAAAAGCGGATCTGATATATCAAACGTGCTGGAATGAGAGTTAAAATCCTGGTATAAGCAACATTAGTTTTACAAGCTTTCAGAAATAGCGGACAAAAGTGTCTTGATACCCGGGAGGGAACATTAAGGTTAACTTCGCCCAGAAGAAGCGGACTTGAAATTGAGCCTGTTAGTAATTTAACTATAAAAATTGTACCAAGCATTTGCCTGCGGCTGGAAAGTGTAGGAAGATTAATAAGTTTTAATCGGCTCCTATAAGGTGGAAGGTTATATTGAGAATTGTTGAATTGAATTGAATTGTTTTTGAATTGATTCTATCTTGTCTGAGTAAATTTGATACCTTGGATTCCAAACCTCCGAACCGTATTCCAGTAGCCCGTTTCTGTAACTTTTCTCTACCGATTATTTCTCTACTGGTAGAAAATGTCCGTCATTCTCTACTACTCATTACATTAGCAGTAGAGACCAGGGTCGCGAATTCATATCTCGATTCGCCTTGCTAGAGAATTGTTACAGAAACGAGCTACAGAATTGGCCTAACTAATGTTGTAAACAGGATTTTAGTGATATAAGAGTCACAAAATTCTTTTGGCCATCGTTTCACAAATGCAAGTACACCTTTAGCCTTGTTGACTGTCACATTAATATGAAGATTAAAATTAAGCTTAGGATCCATTGTGATACCAAGGTCCACAAAATTGTATACCTGTTCCAGGTTATGGTTACCTATTGTATAAGAAGCGGGATGAACAGCTCTTCGTTAGAAGCACATTACTTTACATTTCTTAACATTTAGAGGCATAAGATTTACTTGACACCAGTAAGCCATGCTGTTATATTTACAATAATGCATACATAAATCAATAAACAAAACTTTTTCGCTCATAACGATTGAAAAGCCACATGCTATAATGAGTCATGCTTACGACGTAAGACCGAAGTACTGCACATTAAAACTGATATATCTCAAGAAAGAAAAATCGAATCCCAACAAACGAAAATCATGCCCTAAGTAGAAATGACCAAAAAAATGTTTGTTTTCTTTATATAACCTCAAATATCGCCGTGATTTTGGCACTTTGAGGTTAGGATATCTCAAAATTCTAGTGCTAGAGCAATTGTGCGGCCAGACTTGGATTCAACACCAAGAAGAAATGTGTTTTACTCAGGTGGTACAAAAATAAAATTTTTTACAAATAATTAGAAACGAACAAAAAAAATTGAACAAGGTGAATTTGCAAGTTCAGCTTTTTATCAATCATGGTTGTATTTAAGTGCATTAAATTTTTAGAATTTTGTAAATTTAGTGCTGCCACAGCTTTAAATATTTAAAAATTATTTCAGGTTTTAACCATATCGGAGTAATTTTTGTTCAGAAAAAAGCACTAAAAAGGCACTAAGCACTAAATAATTTTTTTTTTTCGTTTAAATTTTCCAAAAGCACTAAATCTAGTGCTTAAAGCACCAAGTTGGCAACTATGGCTATAGGGATCTGACAGAGATTTAGGCGACTTACAGAATGTTCAAGACCAGGGCGTACTCCTGTAAGAATAACAATGGCGACCTAGTAACCGATGTTCAGAACGTACTTAAATTATGGAGGGAACACTTTTCCACCCTACTTAATGGTAGCAGCACGGAAATTTGTGGAAAAGAAGAACCCGAACCCGCAGTCGATGATGACGGAGTCGATGTTCCACCGCCTGACTATGACGAGGTACGAATAGCAATAACGCGGCTGAAAAACAACAAAGCTGCTGGAGCTGACAGCCTGCCAGCTGAGCTATTCAAGTACGGCGGCGGGGAGTTGATAAGGTGCATGAATGTGAGGGGTGAAATAACACAAATTTGTTATTTAGAAGTCTGAGAGTCGGTAAAATTTTACATATTTTTGCATCACTACTTCGTACCACATGTTCGCTTCGGCTTCGGATATGGTGAATCAGTGATGATAATGCAGAAATTTTAACTAAAGATAAAACTCAAAACAATATTCTCTGTGTTATATGCTGCGAACAGGAACGGCAACTTTTGTTTGTTCCATGCCATGGCGGAATTATACAAGGTGAAGTAATTAGAGCGAGAACAAGACTTTGACACTGCCTTATTTGAAAAATTGCTTTAAAATTTTACTATAAGGCAGCCGAATGACAAAAATAAAGCGAGAAAGCTGTTTTATTACTTCATCTGTTTATTGCGCCATGATTCCATGCAAACATTTTAAGGTTTTCCAGCAATGTTTTCAACATATTAAAAAGCATGCAGATAAAATTCATACAAAAGCACTATGTCCAATTTGTTGAGCAGTTATTAAAGACGACTCTTTTCCTATATTTTGTTAGACTTTTCATAAGTAAAAATATTTTTTGAATATTACTTTCATCATATGAATTATATCAAATTTTTTGTTTAATTGTATTTTTGGAATAAACAAAGTTCTTTTTCCTTCAGTCAGTAAACTGTTTTTGTTAGAAATGGTAATAATAAGCAATGGGAAATAAGACAAAATTTGTTTTATTTCCAACCTTTGTTGGAAATAAAGCAAAACTCAGATTTTGGTATTATTTCCCATTTATAAGTGAAATAAAGCAAATTTTGCGTTTGTGTTACAAACATCAGTGTGGTAATATCACCATTGACATTATTTATATTAAACAAAATTCACTATGTGCTAACTTCTTTGAATTAACTTCAACGAACACAAAACTGGAGGAGTTAAAGGATTAACATGTTTATGCATACAAATTCCCGATTTGTTTATTATTTCGTTATTTGCGAGCAGATATGTACAATGCACTCCCCTAAATTTAGAAAAAAATCTTTTGCACACACATGTTCAATGAGATGACTTTCCGATTTTTGGTGACCCGCAGTAAAATTTTTTCTTAAAATTTCTGTTGAATATTTTAACACTATAACTGCCATTTTTGATGAACTTGCCTGGCAATTCTTACAAATAAGCGTGAAAAAGACTCCTTGTGGTAGGAGTTAATGGGTTAAAATGTTTTATGAAGGAACTACTTCCTAAATTTAAATATAATTATGTCCCTCAAGAGAATAATTGTATTCGAGGTGAATTTGCAAATGAGTTACAGCCCGAACACAATGAAAACGACGAGCTACGGACCACAGCTGTCAAATTATTTTAACACGTATTCTTCTGTAGATAATTATTTTGATGACGACCGGGCTATGTACAATGCACTCCCCTAAATTTAGAAAAAAATCTTTTGCACACCCATGTTCACACTATAACTGCCATTTTTGATGAACTTGCCTGGCAATTCTTCCAAATAAGCGTGAAAAAGACTCCTTGGGGTAGGAGTTAATGGGTTAAAATGTTTTATGAAGGAACTACTTCCTAAATTTAAATATAATTATGTCCATGAAGAGAATAATTGTATTCGAGGTGAATTTGCAAATGAGTTATAGCCCGAACACAATGAAAACGACGAGCTACGGACCACAGCTGTCAAATTATTTTAACACGTATTCTTATGTAGATAATTATTTTGATGACGACCGGGCTACACGGCGACTGTGGTTGTGGCCAGATTAGATCTATTTCTTTTTTTCCAGCGACAGATAAGTTTCTTCCTCTTCTTTTATGTCAAACTCATACAAATTCATGATGTCGCTGCCGCGTTCAAAAGAATCATGTCGCCATCGACAAAGCTTTTAGATAATGAAGATAACAAATTGGAAGCTGTGGCCCGTAGCTCGTCGTTTCCAATGGGTTCAGCACTTTATAATTGAGCTTATGACCAGAACAATTGTCCTTAACCAAATATAAAAAAAGTTGTGACGAGTTGGAGCGAAATCATCTCAGGGTCTGAATATCACGTATGTACACTAGCGTTTCGGCCTTATTTGTCAAGGCCCTAAACAAAAAAAATAATTAATAATTTTTGCAATTTGCAAATGCATATGCTTGTACTTCCCTCACTCCTTGAGAGCAACTGGTGACTGGCGCCCTTACCCCTTTTCGATCTATGTATATATTCCTAGCCCATGAAAATTTTAGACTCGACAAAGCAATACAAACCATATTTTTGTAAACATTTGAAACCCATTTTTACAAAAATCTTTTGTGAGGGTAAATTTTAAAAATATTTGTATTGTATTACTATTTTCGTCCCAAAACAAAACCTTCACGGCATTTTAAATAATTGAAGTGTTGTCTTTTCACTAATGCTTGGGGTGTTTGTCCCTGAATCTTTTAAGGGTCTTCGGCTCAGTAGTTTATGACACGAGCACTCAATCCAATCGAAATATTGTTTACAACCATTAACTGCAGTATTCGTAAATTCTTGTAGACACACAAGAAATTACAAGTTGGTTTAACAAAGTAAATATGCATATTTGGCCACAAAAACTTTCCACAAATGTCCAGAAATTCTTACACAAAATTCACTGCGTAATAAATATCTTCACTAATAATAATGATGCTAAATGGCAGTATCCAAATACACGTAGCAGCTTCACGTCAACGCTTATATGTACACACGTATATGAGAAGAGAATGTATCACTTCACAAAACAGAAAGGATGTTTTCAGCAGTTAGCCAGCTCAAATGTAGCTGTTTACAAACCTCTTTGTCCTTTCGCTCTACTCTACTCAACGTGAATCTATGTACTCTGCTATGCATTGTTTCGTTAATATTCGCTAGTGATAGAAATTCTTATCCTTGTCCCCGTTCTTGTTATCGTCACCATCCTTGCGTCATTGGCGTTTGCCTTCATTTACACGGGGATTCTGCTTGCGCCCGACTTCGTACATTTGCCACGGCACATGCCAAGTTTTACTCAGAAAACCAAAACTTGATGTGCACACAAATTCACTAAAGCAACCCGGTTGGAAATTAACATGTGTTATTTGGCACCGCCCTACGGTCGTCTTATTACACTGTGGAACAATTTAAAGAATTTTTATGAGGCCCTAAAGGAAATAAAGCCTACTGAGAGTCAAAGTCAAATAAAAAAATAATACTAAAAATCATGGTACAATAATTACAGGTATTGTTTTCCCAGAGAGCCCATATTCCGATCTGCCTTATTTGAAAAACATCATTGTTGCCCACACTAAAAGGTTTACTGCTAGGGAAAAGAGATATTTCCATACCCATATACTATGTATGTACACGTATTTTTTTAAACAAACCTTCTTGCAGAGGAATTATTTAATTTGCAAAAGCCGAAAAAAAACATTTGCTTAGTAAATAAATTCAAAATTGGTATGGCTCACTTCATTTCAAATCTTTTATCTTTTGTTTTGAAAAATTATAGAAATTAAATTAAGTGAAAACAAAAAGCAAAGCCAAGTAAAAGGAAAAGAATCAACATTGAACTGCATCAAAATTAAAATAAGGGAGCACGAATTTCGATGTGAAGCAAAACTCTCTGGGAAGACAATACCTGTAATTATTGTAAAATGACTAAAAATCAAGGCACATAAATACAGGTAGAATATAAAATGACATTGCTCTCATGAGAACCAGACCTTTAAACTTCAACTTGGTTTTCTTTTATTTCCTATATTTCATTACGATTTAAATGTCATGTCGTTTGTTTTTTTTTTAAATGTTCGTTAAAAAAAATTTTAATTAACATTTGAATTTTTGTAGCGTTGTGCTGTTTATACTTAGTGTATGTGCTAAAAATGCAACACCTGAAGCATTGTTTTTATGTGATGTTAAATATAAATCAGATACCACTAATTTTTTAACGTGCCTCAATGTCCTTCGCGTAAGGAGCGTTGCGAAAGCAGCTGTGGGGCAGAGCTGCAACGAAATGCCTTGCTGTGCGTTAAACATTTTAAAGCAGCAGATTTTATAAATTACCGGGAGGTACAGGGAAAGCACGTTTGATGCCAAGTGCTGTTGCTATGACTCTTATGCCGGAAAGTCCCTCCAACAACACTGCAACTCATAAATCAAAGACAGAAAACAACAAACAAATTAACAAATTGTAACTAAAGAAAATAAATAAATAAAATTAAACTTCAAATTTACTTAAAAACGCCAACCAGTGAAATATACAAGCCGAATTTATATAAGGTGGTGTTGTATCATCAGCTGTGACTAGCATTTGATTGTCAAATTTTTGTATTTCGCTAGTGAGTGAGTGAAAACGTGAGAGTGTTTGTATTTTCTGTCGCCCTTTTTCATTCGGGGAAGAATAGCTGAAATTTGACAATGGCCCACTAAAAGCAAAACAAAATACAAGTAATTGTTGTATTTGTTGAATCGATACCACCTTATATGTATTCGCCTTGGAAATATAATTTTTTATTTTTCCTTACACACGCTCATTTTTATTTTTATTCTCCCGAAAACTTTGACTTTTGTAGGTTTGACGTCAAATTGGCTTCTACCTGTTTTTATTGTACCATGATTAAAAATTATGATTCAATAATGAAAGGTTTTGTAAGAAAAACTTTCTCTCGCTCTAATTTTATCAATGACACTCCCACCCTACTCCCAAAAACAAAAACAGTGATATTTCTTTTGCAAATTTCTTTGCAGGTTTAAAGAACATTTTTTAATTTTTAGTAATGAAATTTTTACTTTTTAAATTTGAAGAAATGTTTGTTCTTCATTCGCTGGCGACAAACAGACAAAATGGGTGGACTACAGAAATTCAATGTAGGCTAAAGAGACGAAATTTCCTTAAATGCCGATATTCGTGGGGACCTATTGATTCTGCTAAGGCTCTGTAAAGTAAAGCGCACAATGGTTCTGGTAAATGAGTAAACGAAGATATTTAGGTATTGACCTCCACAACACAATCTTGCAGTGGAATTCTGACAATCGCAACGCTAAATTTCCATCGCTAAGATTCTCTAAATTAAATGTCGTGGGGCATAAAATTACGCAATATGGAAAAGTAACAGAAGCAAAGTGTAATCAGGCAAATCTGGCCATATGAGGGGCATGTAACTAAACGTTGCATGTTGTTAAGTGCGCCTGCTATTCTTTTGGAGACCTTTAGCGATCAAAATTAGCGATAGCGAATGCTGGATTCCGGCTGCTGGTTTCTCCGAATGAGACTTTGACGCAATATAATATTAGCAAACCACGTCCATGGGGCCAATCGTAAAACACGACAGCTCGGTTTAGTCAATGGTGCGATATAATTGCACACTTAGGCTATCTGCACACTTTTCGTCCAATCATAATTGCGTTATCGTCTCGCCCTGAAATTTTGAGCCGAGCACATGCATGTCAAAGGAGATCTGCACACTTGTCGTTATCGGCTAGTTATCGGCAAATCGTAGAAAGTGCAGAAACGGATAAGTACGGCACTGTCGTTTGCTAATCGTTGTGCACGCATTGTTTGTTTACATTTTATGGGGAAAAATTAGTGAAAAGGTTAATATTTGCATTAAAATTGCATAAAAATTTGTATCTTTTGCATAAAATTTGTCGAAATTATTAAAAAGTGGATAATTGCAATAAAATTCAATATACGCGAGCGTTTTAAGTATAAAATATGACGAAATTGTAAAAAGTCTCTGTGTGCATGCACAAAATACATTTCAGAAAAAGAAAAGAAGAGATATTACTGAAAAATTGTGTTTAGAATTGTTGCAGCACAGTCCATATTTTAAAAATTGCAGGTTTTTGTAAATATTTTGCGAAAATATCAACCAAAAAAACAGAAAATACCTGCTCCAAGTGAATTTTTAGACGCCAAATGAATTGAAATATCACGACCGAGTGTGCGTAAATGTAGTCGTTATGTAATCGTTGCATCATGATTGTGACGATGGAGTAACTATGACTGGACGACCAATGTGCAGAAGCCTTACGGCACTTCTCATTTGACGATGTAGATCACGTTCCCTGCCAAGGCGTATTTAACAAGGTGGTGTTAGCCGTATTTAAGTAAAAAATTACACTAACAAATTATATGCAGATATCCATACTATCATTAGTATGAGTTACAACAAACACATCATTTTGACGTAATGCCCTCCGCGGCGAAAAACTCAGCTGTCGCCCCAACATCACCTTGTTAAATACACCTTGGTGTAAGCCAATTTTTAATATTCTGACGGCGGCACAATCGAGCCATAAACGCGAAAGAAACATAAGCTCCAAATGTTTTTATTAAGCGTTTTTTAACTATATTCAATGTAAATAAGCTGGTTTAAATAAAATAATTAAATCTAATTCGTTTTTGTATTAAAGCACCACGATGCGCCATTATCCACGCCTTTTTGTAGAATTTCGCTACCATTTAGGAAGTGTGATTGAATTCTTCCCCTTTTTCTCCTGCTTCCAAAAACCATCACTATGGGTGGGAGTGTCAAATTTTAGAAAATAGCTACTTACAAAACCTTTAATAACTGAATCATGACTAAAAATCATAATTTCGGCCGGAAGCCTCTGCTGCTGGCGCTGTGTTATATGGTTTATGTATATGATACATCATTGTTATTGTTATGTACGCCTTTAAAAATAAAATAAAAACCACAAAAAATCATAATTTAACCGTAAAAATGAATATTTAGTTTTCCGATTAAAACAAAAAATTTATGGAAATGAGACAAATTGCATTCATTTAGGGAGGTCAAGATATATATAAATACCAATGGATTTGTAAAATTTGGTACCATTTTTAACCGACTTCCAAAAAAGGAGGAAGTTATCAGTTTGTCGGAATAATTTTTTTTTTTTTTGAATGTTACCACATAACCGCTCTGATTATAATACAGATTTCCCACGGCACCGTGAATTACTATCATACAATTCACCCTGAGCATTCTCAATTCGATTTAACACTTCTCTGTCTCTGTGATATATGTATGTTTTTTTAAGCTACAATAATGTAAGTTGTTGTTAAAATTTTATAAATTGTGAGTCAATTGACAATGTATATATTTATCAACTTTACTTTTAGTACCCAGAAAAGATTTCAGTTTTGATTTATCGATAAATCTCCGATAAAAAATATGGAAGTCATCAATTTGTTCGTAATTCGCACCTTAATTAGATCTCAATTCCCTGCAAATGAGGTAGTCCGCTCTCAAAATTTGGGTATGGCGAATTACGTAATTCGAAAGGTAATTGGAGGCCGAATTACGAATGAGAGAGCGAACTACGTATTTGGGGTGGCGTGGGAAAGCCGCATAACATCCACACGATTGAAGTAATTTTCTAATTCTAATTTTTATTCAGGGCTATCACTGAATCCATCGTGGAAAATCTACGAATTCGAATGCCTGCTACTAATACGAAAAAATTGCTATCATTGAATCTGAGTGAACTCGAAAATATCTTTGCCAGCTTCGAATGGTGCATTTTGATGATTCGAAATCAGCTGGTGCAAAGGAAACAACATTCATTTATGTATGTCATTTTGCTCACGCTGCCCCAGCAGTGGCAATGGCCGAGTGTTGGCAGTCAGTGTTGCCATTTTCACGCCGATTGGAGTGTTTCAGTCCTTTTTTAAGCCGAACACTACGTCACTCCTTCTATTGCAAACACATTCCGATTTTGAGATTATCAGAACTAAAATTTACCACGAAATGAATGACCATATACCTACTACGTTTACACGTAAGCTATTTGCAAAAAATCA